GATCTGAGCGGGACCTAGCCGTCTGAGGGGCTGCGATCTCGAAACCTCGCCACTTTCGAGGCGCTGGTGGGTCCGGGGAGTGGGCACCACGCAGCATCTGACCTACCCTGGGGGCTGCGATCTGCGAAACTGTCGCCACTTTCGAGGGCTGCTGGTGGGTCCAGCGGAGTGAGGCACCGCGCAAATCTGAGCAAGACCTCGCCGTGCCTGGGGGGCTGCGATCTGCGAAACCGTCGCCACTTTCGATGGCTGCTTGGGGGGGCAGCATAGCGATCTGCGAAACTGTCGCCACTTTCGAAGGCTGCTGGTGGGTCCAGCGGAGTGAGGCACTGCGCAGATCTGAGCGGGACCTCGCCGTCCCTGGGGGGGGGCTGCGATCTGCGAAACTGTGGCCACTTTCGGGGCCTGCTGGTGGGTCCAGCGGGGTGAGGCACCGCGCAGATCTGAGCGGGACCTTGCCGTCCCTGAGGGGCTGCGATCTGCGAAGTTGTCGCCACGTTCGAGGGCTGCTGGTGGGTCCTGCGGAGTGAGGCACCGCGCAGATCTGAGCGGGACCTCGCCGTGCCTGGGGGGCTGCGATCTGCGAACTTATCCCCACTTTCGAGGGCTGCTGGTGGGTCCAGCGGAGTGTGGCAGGCACCGCGCAGATTTGCGCGGGGCCTCGCCGTCCTTGGGGGGCTGCGATCTGCGAAACCGTCGCAACTTTCGAAGGCTGGTGGCGGGTTCAGCGGAGCGAGGCACCAGGCGGATCTGAGCGAGACACCGCAATCCTTGGGGGGCTGCGAGCCTCACGAATGCCGCTCGCAGAAGTATATGCGCCCATGTCACGCCATCACTTCCGTATAACGTCTCCGAAGCTATTCATGCCCCGCATTGCGCAGGGGTTGGGTACGTCGCCAGGGTTAATTTGTATCTTGACCTCCCTTGACGACGTGTGTTCATTCGTCGTGGCTGCTTCCGCCAACACGTCCTCCCGACGTTGGTGCTTGCCTTTGAGAACTCTGTACTTCATCGGTCAAGGTTGTTTCTCGTGGGGTGGCTGCCCTCTTCGGTGAAAAGGGCTAGAGGCCCAAGAATAGAGCAGGCCTCGCAGCGGACGAACACGAACACAGGGCTCCCGTCCGAGCTCGGGTGAGGAGATCAAGCGATGGCCGAGAGCGCCGACGTTCTCCAGCTCGGGGGGATATTGATCATAGCAGCCCTCGTCCGAGGAGCTTATGCTCACACAGGCCGCCGCCGCAGCAGCAGCAGCAGTAGAAATAGTAGTAGTAGTAGTAGTAGTAGTAGTAGTAGTAGTAGTAGTAGTAGTAGTCGTAGTAGTAATAGTCGTAGCAGTAGTCGTAGTCGTAGTCGTAGTCGTAGTAGTAGTAGTAGTAGTCGTAGTAGTAGTAGTCGTAGTAGTAGTAGTAGTAGTAGTAGTAGTAGTGGTAGTAGTAGTGGTAGTAGTAGTAGTAGTGGTAGTGTAGTAGTAGCAAGTAGTAGTAGTCGTAGTAGTAAGTTAGTAGTAGTAGTATAGAGTGTGGTAATAGTAGTAGTAGTAGTAGTAATATAGTCGTAGTAGTAGTAGATAGTAGTAGTAGTAGTGGTTGGTGGTGGTGGTGGTGGATGGGGTAGTAGTAGTAGAGATTTACAGTAGCAGCAGTATAGTAGTAGCAGAATATTAGTAGTATAGTAGTAGTAGTAGTAGCAGTAGCAGCAGTTAGTAGTAGTAGTAGTAGTAGCCGTAGTAGTAGTAGTAGTCGTAGTGTTCGTATGACAGTGGAGTAATAATAGTAATAGTAGTAGTAGTAGTAGTAGTAGTAGTAGTCGTAGTAGTAGTAGTAGTAGTTGTAGTAGTAATAGTAGTAGTAGTAATTAGTAATAGTAGTAGTAATAGTAATAGTAGTATTAGTAGTAGTAGTAGTAGTAGCAGTAGTATTAGCCGTAGTCGTGGCTAGTAGTAGGAGTAGTAGTAGCAGTAGTAGTAGTAGTAGTAGTAGTAGTAGTAGTAGTAGTAGTAGTAGTAGTAGTAGTAGTCGTAGTAGTAGTAGCCGTAGTAGTAGTAGGATCCAACCCGCTTGGTAAGGATGGCCAGTCTTCTCAAGGGTACCCTTGCATCCCTATCTCCTCGGCGCATCCTTTGTCACCTTTGTTGGCCGCGCCCCGCTCGAAAAGTTTCGACGTGGCCTTCTGAGGCATTTGCACCCTTATCGCGCATCCTTACTGTACGGCTTGACTGTAGTAGTAGCAGTAGTAGTAGTAGTAGTAGTAGAAGTAGTAGTAGTAGTAGTAGTAGTAGTAGTAGTAGTAGTAGTAGTAGTAGTAGTAGTAGTAGTAGGTAGTAGTTAGTAGTAGTAGTAGTAGTAGTAGTAGTAGTAGTAGTAGTAGTAGTAGTAGTAGTAGTAGTAGTAGTAGTAGTAGTAGTAGTAGTGGTAGTGGTAGTAGTAGTAGTAGTAGTAGTAGTAGTAGTAGTAGTAGTAGTAACAGCAGTAGTAGTAGTCTTAGTATTAGTAGTAGTATA